CCTCATACAACACATTCCCATCCCTTTAGCATCTTAAGAGCCCCTTCCCAGACTCACCCCAATAGCTCCAGGTCTCTCTTATGCTGGAGATCCCAGAACTGGACACAGCTCTGCACATGTGGTCTCCCCAAGGCTGAGAAAAGAGGGAGGCAGGATCCTCTCCCTCAACCTGCTGCCAGCACTCTGCCTAATACAGCCCAGGACACTACTGGCCATCTTGGCCACGAGGACACATTGCTCACCATCTATTTTCTGTCCACCATGCCTCCCAGGTGCTTCTCCAAAGGCTGCTTTCTAGCATATCAGACCACAGACTCTACCGGGGCAGGGGGTTATTCTGCCGCGGGTCCAAGACCCTGCCCTTTTCTCTATTCAGTTTCATGCTGTTCCCTTCTGTCCATGTCTCCAGCCTGACGAGCTCCTTCAGAATGGCAGCACAGTCCTCTGTGGTATCAGTCACTCCTCCTGTTTTTTTTTCAGCAGCAGCAGACTTGCTGCTGGTGCACTCTGTCCCCTTACCAAGTTCTCCTTGCCAATGGCGTGAAACAGATGTCACACGGCATCGGAGTGCTGTACGAGGAGTTCAGGAAACAATGAGTGTGAGTCAGAGACATGCAGACACCAGCAACAAGCAAACTAGCATTGCTGTTAACTCTGGTACTGCTGTTTCAGCCTCATGAGGAAGGGCAAGCACCACACACCATTGTGCTGGTGGGAGCTGTGGGGATGCAACAGACAGTGACAGTGAGGAAGATCACAGTAGAGTGGTCAGAAGGATTTTGACTATGTTTTCCACTTCAGCTATAAAGAAATAAGCACTACTAGATAAATGAGTGCGCAGACTTGATTTCTAAGCTGTTATTTTCTCCACTTGGGCTTCTGCATCTGTGCTGGAGCAGGAGTGCCTCTGCCTGGAACTAACACTTGTACTTGCTCCCCTTGGCACCATGGTCTTGATTTCTGCCAAGCACAGGCCACATGGATCCAGAACCACCTGGGTCCTGCATGACCTATGCCCCTCACACCAGCAGCAAGGAGGGCCTGAGGTGAAATTCAAGGACTAGACATGTGTACCTGTATTGGAGATGAAAATTTCTGTGATCTGCAGAGTCATAACAATCTCCTATGGGAAGAAGAGGCCAGACCTTGAGAAAAAAGGATGTTTGCCTGCCTAGGCTGAGCGATAAGGCAGCTGCTCACCCCAGGCCACAGGCAGCGCCCCTGCCTGGAAACCTGTTGAAGGCATCCACTTGGCTGGGCTTGTAGACACCTTAACCGCAGACGTCCTCCAAACTAGCTTTGGAGACCAAAACACCCAGAGAGGAGGAAGGCAGGACCCTCAACTTGAGGGCTGGGACCCCTGACTGGTGTGCACGCCTGCACACTCGGCAGGGGGGAAAGTTGTGCAACTCGAAGCAGAGTTTGTCCGCCCCCCTGGCCTGCCTCCTGGGTCGTACTGACCCTACCTGCCAGGATGCACCGGGCATAAAAGTGTACAGTGCGGAGAGAGCTGGGGGGAGGAAAAACTGCTGACTTTGAGGCCTACGCTGTCCCCATGGGAACCAGTCAGCAACTCTCTCTCTGATCTGCCAGCTTGAGAGGATGTTCGGGCCCAGATCGGCAGGTATCACCTCGTGAGTAGTTATCCATACTTTGCTTCTTTTATATGCTTTCACCTGAATAAATGCTTGATGTAGTCACCTCATTCTGGCGTGATTATTGCTGAATCCCGAGCCCGTCCGAACAGTACCCCAAACATAAGAGAAGCCTGAAACAAGAACTCGAGGTCCTCGTGTCCTCATGCCCCAACAGGAGACAAGACAGACGCTGTCTTGGGTCAGAGTGGTTCAGGTGTGCTGGGTGAGACTCTTTCCATGTGTCAATCCTGACTCACTTTCTCCAACTTGGAGCTTGAAAGGATTGAAACACAGATATGAATCACCTGGCCAGACACTGAGACAGAATGACCAACGTGCCCTCTCTCACCTGCGTGCACCAGGGCTGGTTTCGGGCCAGTGCAGCAAATCCCATGAGCTGTAGGGCTTTGAGTTCCTTCTGCTCCCTGTCACTCTTGACCCAGCAGCTGCAGTAAAATCCATGGGCATGGAGTGGGGATGGCAGCAGGGCTGTGGCCATGCAGGCACCCTGCGGCCAGATATTGTGGGGTAGGGACAGTGTATCCTCAGCAAAGTCTACGCTGCTCTGTGATCTCAGGTGGTAGTCAGTATCTGAAGTAGCTTTACCAGTTCCTCTCCTTTTCTTGACCATTTAGGCCCATGCTCACCTGGAAGAAGGCTGTATGCACTGCAGCACCTTGAGGGGCCTGGCTTTACCATGGATCATAAATTACCAAAGAAATGCCCTTCATAGTCAGAGATGTAGCCTTGGTGTGGAAGCTTTGCTTGTGCATGGAAAGTCCTCAGAGCAGCACCAATGCAAGCCTCATCCAGGTCTCCATAGGGATTTGCAGGACAGCTCTGGCCCCTTGCAGAGGCCCACAGGCAGGAGAAGCAGCTTCCTATACTGCCTGCAGCTGGGTGCCCCACCGCTGGCCCAGCTTCCGTGATATCTGTCCTCACGTCAGGCAGTACTGAAGTAGGAAGCAGATGGTTTTCCCCTGCGTGCCAACCCCTACAGGGAAGCTGTGATGGCAGCCCAGGGGCTGGTGTGCGACAGTATAAGGCACAACCACTGTGTTCTTGCCCCAGCACACATCTGTGGTCCCACCAAACAGCCCACCTCTGACCACCTGCCCCTGCTCCTGCTCAGCCACCTGCATTTCAGACCATGAGAATGTTAAAATTTGCACAGCATTGTATCTTTCCAAACTCCTTATAGTTTTCAGATATTATGATGTACTTTACTACTCCACCTAGTAACTGGTTTTCCATCTCCATGACCACTCAGAGATGAGGGAGGTAGCCCTGCACGGACAGCTGTCAGCTCTCTTGGCATCCTGGGATGCAGCTGGGAACAAGGGAGTCTGCGGAGCACTGAGATTTCTCAGCTCAGCCCTTTCACAGAATCACAGAATGCTTAAGGTTGGAAGGGACCTCTAGACCTCTAGTCCAACCCCCCTGCTCCAACAGGGACACCTAGAGCACGGGGCACAGGGTGACGTCCAAGCAGGTTTTGAAGATCTCCAGGGAAGGAGATCACAGAGGCTCTGTGAAGGAGATCACAGAGGACCACAGCCCCTCTGGGCAGCCTGTCCCAAGGCTCTGTCACCCTCACAGTAAAGAATTTCTTCCTCATATGTAGGTGGAACTTCCTGTGTTTCAACTTCCACCCGTTACCCCTCGTCCTGTCACTGGCCACCACAGAGAAGAGCCTGGCCCCATCCTCCCTACAATCACCCCTCAGGTACTTGAATATGTTAATCAAATCTCCTCTCAGCCTTCTTTTCTCCAGACTAAACAGGTCCAGATCGCTTAATCTTTCCTTATATGACAAATGCTCCAGTCTCTTAATCATCTTCGTGGCTCTCCACTGGACCCCCTCTCGAAGCTCAATGTCCTTCCTGTACTGGGGAGCCCAGAATTGCACCCAATACTCCAGGTGCGGCCTCACCAGGCTGAGCAGAGGGGCAGGATCCCCTCCCTCACCCTACTGGTAACGCTCCTCCTGATGCAGCCAGGAGCCCATTGGCCTTCGTGGCCACAAGGGCACACTGCTGCCTCATGGTTAACCTGCAGTCAACCAGGACTCCCAAATCCCTCTCCACAGTGAGGGATTCTTTCTTGATCCTCATGCACTCACTACTGCATGCTCCTCTGCCACCTAAGTGCTGCCCTTTCCCTAAGTGCAGCCACATGAGAGACCTTGCTGGCAAAGCTCATCCTCGTTTCCTCCTCCTGGACATGCCCTTTTGCACTGGAGTTCAAGCCGGCTTAACCAAGCAGCCCTCCTGAAACATCAGCTCATCCCCTGAGCCGCAGCACAGACCTTCCTTGTGCTTAGTGGCCCTGCCAGCTGCCCTTGCCTTCCTGGGTGTAAACTCACCTCCTGAGCATCTGCACAAAACTTTATGGTGCTCTGTGGAGGCCATCCTTCATGCCCTCACGCTTGCTCTGCACTCAGGCAGATGCTGGGGAGGTTAAATGTGATGATCACAAAGGCAAAGCTCTGCTGGTGACAGCATCCACGTGGAGCAGAGTCAACCTGTGCCATGTCCCCAGTCCTCCCAAGAATGGAAGGGTCCAGGGCAGCACCACCAGTCCCCTGTCCCCCTCAGCTTTGTCCCCAGAGCTCCTGGGTCACTCTGGATTTTCTCCAGGTGTCTGTGGGAGTGTCACTGCAAAGAGGTACTGATCTCTCAGGATAACCTCACGTTATCATAGTGTGAAATGCAGCTGGATGAGCAGAGGCATCGCAAGGGGCAAAGGCCTTCCTGAAAATGTCCCATGGAGCCTGGAACCAGGCCTGACTTTGTGCCACCCTGGGGGTTTCTATCATCTCAGAGGTAGTCCCAGTGCCTGGTCCATGTGGAGGGCTGCCGAGGGACCTGGTGCCAGTATCAGTCCCACAGCATGCAGGAGACTGCAGCAGATGCTGTCCTGAGTGGAGCACCATCCCTGTCAGGACAGAACTCTTGATGGGGTCCCTGGCACAGTGTGCCAGACCCAGGCCTATGAAGATTCAGGCACAAGAAGGGCCCCACATCCCCTTCACCTGCAGTGGGCACCCAGGTGGGGAGCCTTGCTCAGCTCATCAAACTCCCCACAATAACAGCTGGGCAGACGCCCTCCCAATAGCGTGGCACACATAATCCCAGAAGCAGAGGTGAGCTGCATATGTGGGTGTGAGTGTGGCTGGAGAAGTATATTGGAGGTTGGGGCTCTGTCAACTGGGAGACAACCCTCCTGACAATGTCTCAAAAAGTGTCTGCCATGTCGACTGGCTCCCCTGGCAACAGCACCTGCATCTCTGCCTATATGTTGCCCTCTGCAGCACAAGGCCTGTGATGGCCCAGGAGATGAGGAGAAGCTGAGGACTGCACCATGGGGCAGGAGGTCAGTGGAATGGCCACTGTCAGCCTGCTCCTTGCCAAGGCGCTGGGACTGCTGCTGTGCATGCAGTTCTGCTGCGGTGAGTGTATGTGGGCTCCTTGGGGCTGCTGCTGCCTGCCCTCATGCCAAGGTAGCCCCAGAGACCCTGTAGCTCAGGCCAGTACAGTCCACTGGAGTGGGGACAGTTCTGCCTGGGGGCTGCCATTCCTCACCAGATTTGGTCCCCTGATCAAGGTCTGCCCTCCTTGGACTGCCTGTTCCAACAGCTACTCCCCTGCTTCACCCCATGTGTCCACTGCTGCTGGCAATGCAACTCCTCCACGTGTTGCTGTCCTTGCAGGTGCCACCAACAGCCCGCTGGCAGCTCCTGGGCCCAGAGCTCACCATGCTCTGCATCGTTCTGGGGGGTCCTTCTCCGCCTTAGCCAGGGTGTCCTCGCTGTGCAGGCTTGGCGCACCATAGCTTGGCACAGAGGTGGGTCACACTTAGGGTCTCTGGGGCTGATGCTACCAAGATGAGGGGCCACTGCAGATCTGGTCTGGACTGTAGATGCCTCATGGCTCCCAGGATGGCCTGCCCACAGGTCAGCTTGTCTGCCTCGTTCGGGGACAGGTGAGATGGTGGAGCCCAGGGGACACAACCAAGTGAGGGCAGGACCTGGCACAGCACAGGGGCCAGGCAGGTCTACCGGAGCCGCTCTGCGGACGGGGCATAGCTGTGGGGCTGAGCCACAGAGACATCGGGAGGATTTCAGATTGCCCCTAATATCAAGCGTGCTGTACCTGTGGCCTTGGCTTACGGCTGCCTTCCCTTCCAGGCCCTGGCACAGCTGTGCATGCAATCTCTGAGGCAGTCTATGAGGAGCTTGACAGCACCACAACCTGTGCGGCAGCCGATCCGAGCGCTGTTATGTCCTGCCAGGAGAGACAGCTCCTCGCACTCAGCCTTGGCATCATGGTGGGCATCACTTGGACGTGGGGGTCCCTGGTCCAGGCGTGAAAATGCCCCCTGTGTCCTGAGAAATGTCCTTTTCCCAGGGGAGACCAGACCTTCACTGAGCCACCCAGAGCTGCGGGGAGCCATGAGAGACACCGCAGTCTCAACGCACAGGCATGGGGACTATGTTGTCATGTCAGGTATCTGTGAGCAGAGCAGGGATGTGCCACACAAATCCCTTAAGGCACAGGTGCCCACACAGTGCCCAGTCCACCAGCGTGACTGCCCACTCAGGCTTGCTGGGTACTTATGGGCCCAGGGGGAAAAGCCTCCATCCTGCGTCCCACGGAGCCCTCGGGCTGCTGCCTGAGCTCGTGTTGCATTTCCGCTGTGCCCTTCTCCCTTTGCTATCAGAAAACAGAAGCACTGGGAGCCTCAGCACCAGCGCGAGGTCTTGGGGCACGGCGGGTATCTGGGGCAGCCGGGGATCGCGTCTTGGCCCCCCGCTCCCCTCCACAGGGGTCGCTG